GAGCACTGAATGAAAGGAGCAAAGGAGAAGAGAGGAGAGGAGAGGAGGAGAGAGAGAGGAGAGGAGAGGAGGAAGAGGAGAGGAGGAGGGAAGAGGAGAGAGAAGAGGAGAGTTGTGTGCAGACTCCACATGTTGTTCCTGGTGTAACTCTGACCGTGTGTGAAACTCTGCTGCTGATATTTGAATAAAAACATCTGGATTTGGTAAAGAAAACAACAACTAGCATGCTAAGGTGCACTTCCTGATTATCGAAGAGTAAAAAGATTCATATTTAGATGCAGACGTAGGCAGTTCTCGGATCACAGCGTCTCATTTTGTCTCGGACGTTTATGACGATTTTTAAATAAATACATCTGATGGTAAAGGAGACAACTAGCATGCTAACGTGCACTTCCTGATTATTGAAGAGTAAAAAAAAAAACTCATCATAATTCGATGCAGACACAGGCCATTCTCGGGTCACAGCGTCTCATTTTGTCACTGATATTTGTGATGATATTTGAATAAAAACACCTGGAATGGGTAAAGATGCCAATAACTAGCATGCTAACGTGCACTTCCTGATTATTGAAGAATCAAATGCTTCATACTTTAATGCAGACATAGCTCATTCTCATGTCCCAGTGTCTCATTTTGCCCCTGATGTTTGTGAAGACGCAATATTTGAATAAAAACATCTGGATTTGTTAAAGAAAAAACAACAACTAGTATGCTAACGTGCACTTCCTGATTACTGGAGAGTAAAAAGATGTAAACACAGGCCATTCTCGGATCCCAGCGCCTCATTTTGCCCGTGATGTTTATGCTGAGACTAGATTTGAATAAAAAAATAAAACATCTGATGGTGAAGAAAACAACAACTAGTATACTAACGTGCACTTCCTGATTATTGAAGCGTAAAATGTTTCATATTTAGAAGCAGACATGGCTCATTCTCATATCCCAGCGTCTCATTTTTCCCCTGATGTTTCTGAAGATGCTATATTTGAATTAAAACATCTGGATTTGGTAAAGAAAACAACAACTAGCATGCTAAGGTGCACTTCCTGATTATCGAAGAGTAAAAAGATTCATATTTAGATGCAGACGTAGGCTATTCTCGGATCACAGTGCCTCATTTTGTCTGGGACGTTTATGCCGATTTTTAAATAAATACATCTGATGGTAAAGGAAACAACTAGCATGCTAACGTGCACTTCCTGATTACTGGAGAGTAAAAACACTTCATATTTAGATGCAGACATAGCTTATTCTCAGTTTCTAGCGTCTCATTTTGCCCCTGATGTTTCTGAAGATGCTATATTTGAATAAAACATCTGGATTTAGTAACGAAAACAACTAACTAGCATGCTAAGGTGCACTTCCTGATTACTGGAGAGTAAAAGATTCTTGGATCACAGCATCATGTTAATGATGAGGCTAGATTTGAATAAAAAAAATGGTAAAGAAAACAACAACTAGCATGCTAACGTGCCCTTCCTGATTACTGGAGAGTAAAAAGACGCAAACACAGGCAGTTCTCGGATCACAGCGTCTCATTTTCCCCCAATGTTTATGCTGAGGCTAGATTTGAATTAAAAAAAATAAAACATCTGATGGTAAAGAAAACAACAACTAGTATGCTAACGTGCACTTCCTGATTTTTGGTGAGTAAAAGACGCAGACACAGGCCTTTTTCAGATCCCAGCTTCTCATTTTGCCCCTGATGTTTGGGATGAGGCTATATTTGAATAAAAACATCTGGATTTGGTAAAGTAAAAACAACAACTAGCATGCTAAGGTGCACTTCCTGATTATCGAAGAGTAAAACACTTCATAATTAAATGCAGACGTAGGCCATTCTTGGATCGCAGCGTCACATTTTACCCCTGATGTTTATGATGATATAATATTTGTATACAAACATCTGGAACTAATGGTAAAGTAATAATAACTAGCATGCTAATGTGCACCTCCTGATTACTGGAGAATTAAAAAATACACTTCTTCACTTAATTCTATGCAGATATAGGCCATTGTCTGATCGCAGCATCACATTTTGCCCCTGATGTTTGTGACAATCTTTGAATAAAAACATCTGATGGTAAAGAAAGCAACAACTAGCATTCTAATTTGCACTTCCTGATTATTGGAGAGTAAAATGTTTCATATTTAAATGCAGACATAGCTCATTCTCATGTCCCAGTGTCTCATTTTGCCCCTGATGTTTCTGAAGATGCTATATTTGAATAAAAACATCTGGATTTGATTTAAAAAAACAACTAACTAGCATGCTAACGTGCACTTCCTGATTACTGGAGAGTAAAAAGACGCATACACAGGCCATTCTAAGATCCCAGCGCCTCATTTTGCCCCTGATGTTTGGGATGAGGCTATATTTGAATAAAAACATCTGGATTTGGTAAAGAAAAAACAACAACTAGCATGCTAACGTGCTCTTCCTGATTATCGAAGAGTAAAACGCTTCATAATTAGATGCAGACATAGCTCATTCTCAGGTCCCAGCTTCTCATTTTTCCCCTTACATTTGTGATGAGGCTATATTTGAATAAAACATCTGGATTTGGTAAAGAAAAAACAACAACTAGCATGCTAACGTGCACTTCCTGATTATTGGAGAGTAAAAAGACGCAAACACAGGCAGTTCTCGGATCACAGCGTCTCATTTTGCCCCTGATGTTTATGATGAGACTATATTTGAATGAAAAAATACAACATCTGATGGTAAAGAAAACAACAACTAGTATGCTAACGTGCACTTCCTGATTATCGAAGCGTAAATGTTTCATATTTAAATGCAGACATTGGTCATTCTCATATCCCAGTGTCTCATTTTGGCCCTGATGTTTCTGAAGACGCTATATTTGAATAAAAACATCTGGATTTGGTAAAGAAAAAACAACAACTAGCATGCTAACGTGCACTTCCTGATTACTGGAGAGTAAAAAGACGCATACACAGGCCATTCTAAGATCCCAGCGCCTCATTTTGCCCCTGATGTTTGGGATGAGGCTATATTTGAATAAAAACATCTGGATTTGGTAAAGAAAAAACAACAACTAGCATGCTAACGTGCACTTCCTGATTACTGGAGAGTATAAAGACGCAGACACAGGCTGTTCTTGAATCCCAGCGTCTCATTTTGCCCCTGATGTTTCTGAAGACGCTATATTTGAATAAAACATATGGATTTAGTAAAGAAAACAACTAACTAGCATGCTAACGAGCACTTCCTGATTACTGGAGAGTAAAAAGACGCAGACACAGGCCTTTCTCAGATCCCGGCGCCTCCGTTTTACCCCCGGACCTCCCCGCGTCCGTCTACACGCCCGTTCACAAAAGTTTCCCCCCCCCCGTTAACGCCGCCTGATCCCGGCGCGTTTTTTCACACCGCCCGCGCTCGCCCCCGCTCCGTTGCCGTGACGACGCGCGGCGCACAGGTTCCGTTTGGCGGCGTCCCGGGGCGTCTCGCTGCGAGGCATACGTTTCCCCGAGTAAAACATATAATTAGTCCCTGCACGCTGAGAGCATCAAAGAACAGAAACAAACAGAGACTGGTTACGGCGCGAGGACTGAGGCGAGGCCAGAGCCGCCGCCGCCGCCGCCGCCGCCGCCGAGACAACCGGCAATTTATGTGTGAACGGACTCGCGGAAAGTGTGAGAAAGACGAGAGAAAATACGACTTCGAGGTGTAATTTTGTGCGGTTTTGGACGGAGGAGTCGGAGGAGTCGCTGCAAAAAGCAACATCTAAAAATGACTCCACGAAAGAAGGTCTGAGCGAGTGAAAACATCAATGAAAAATACATGTGTTTTTCTTCATTCAAACAACATTAGAATCTGTTTCTTGCTTCTTCTTCAAGTGAAACAAAATTAATTTTTATGTTTTAATCACACAAAGTCTGAGTCCATTAGGAAACACTTTTATTTGTCAAGGGAAATTTACTCACATCCTGATAAAAACTTTCTTAATTTGTGTTGCTTTAACTTGGAGAGAGTTTTGTTTTTGCCCTGAAGAGCCAATCTGTCTGCTCCTGTCTGCACCTGTCTGCTCCTGTCTGCACCTGTCTGCTGTCTGCTACCTGTCTGCACCTGTCTGCTCCTCTGTCTGCCCTGTCTGCTCCTGTCTGCTCTGTCTGCTCCTGTCTGCTCCTGTCTGCTCTGTCTGTCCTGTCTGCACCTGTTGCTCCTGTCTGCTCCTGTCTGCACCTGTCTGCTCCTGTCTGCTCCTGTCTGCACCTGTCTGCTCCTGTCTGCTCCTGTCTGCTCCTCTGGCTCTGCTCCTGTCTGTTTCTCTACTCCTGTCTGTGCCTGTCTGCTCCTGTCTCTGCTCCTGTCTGTTTCTTTGCTCCTGTCTGCACCTGTCTGCTCCTGTCTGCTCCTGTCTGTTTCTCTGTTGCTCCTGTCTGCTGTCTGCTCCTGTCTCCTCCTCTGTCTCTGCTCCTGTCTGCTCCTGTCTGCTCCTGTCTGCTCCTGTCTGCTCTGTCTGTCTCTGTCTCCTGTCTGCTCCTGTCTGCTCCTGTCCTGTCTCCTCCTCTGTCTCTGTCTCCTGTCTGCTCCTGTCTCTCCTGTCTGTTGTCTTTGCTCCTGTCTGCTCCTGTCTGCTCCTGTCTGTCTCCTCCTGTCTGCTCCTGTCTGCTCCTGTCTGCTCCTGTCCTGTCTGCTCCTGTCTGCTCCTGTCTGTCTGCTCCTGTCTGCTCCTGTCTGTCTGTCTACTGTCTGCTTCTGTCTGCTCCTGTCTCTGCTCCTGTCTGCTCCTGTCTGCCCCTGTCTGCTCCTGTCTTCTCCTGTCTGCTCCTGTCTACCTGTCTCTCTGTCTCTGCTCCTGTCTGCTCCTGTCTGTCTGTCTGCTCCTGTCTGCTCCTGTCTCTCCGTCTGCTCCTGTCTGCTCTCTGCTCCTGTCTACTCCTGTCTGCTCCTGTCTGCTCCTGTCTGCTCCTGTCTCTTTAACAGTTCACTTTCTTCCTTTTTCTTTAATCTCCTTGTTCTGTTTCTTTTCCAGCGTCACGGCCGCAGTTCCAACTACCACAACTGGGGGCGCCCTTTACCTCCACACACCGGGTGGAGCCGAAGGTAAAACGTTCTTCTGTTTCTGATCCTAAACGCAACAGTCACGAGAACAAGAACAAGAACAAGAACAGAACAGAACAGAACAGAGCAGAGTGTTTTCAGTCTGAGAGTAGAACTCAGCCTAAATCTGCAGGGTTTTTGTGAATGAATGAAACAAACAACAGAAAATGGTGTAATAAAATGAAAAGTTAAATGAGTATAGACTTTTTTTTGGCCGGAAGTGCTCGCTGTAGGGTAAACGTCACTTCCGGTTAATGTCTTTCTGTGGCAAAATACCGGTGTAAATGTGTGTCATATTCTCCAGCAGCTTCGTAAATCTGACCCATCACCAAATCTTCAACCAAAAAGAAGAATTTATCCACAACTATCACGAGAAGAAAGATGAAAACTTAAAGGAGAACAACGACCAGCGTTAGTGATACACTGAACAAAACTAACATTATGATCATGAATAAAACAGAAGCAACTTGTTCACTCAGACTGATTCTAGAATTAAAATGATAGAAAAATGGATTTCATGATGTCGATATTAACAAAGATTTGTGCAGATCGAAAGCGAGACATCTCTAGGACCATAACGTTTGTGGTAGGGATGGGCATGATTAATTAATTAATCGATAATTGATCATTAAGAATTTCATCGATTACATTCATTTTAATCAACAAACTGAATGTATGTTTGTGTGTCGTGATCAAACAGGTGTGTACATGTGTCTCTGCATCAGAAGGAGCGACACACAAACAGTGGGTCAGTCTGTAACGAACCGAAGCACAAATGTGGATTTAACCAGGATTTGTAGAAGAAATTCCACACTTTCCGTTGCGTTGGGACAAGTGTGAGTCCATGTGCACAGTGGATAAAGCAGCACATATGTTTCTGTGTCCAGTGGGAAAAAGTTTTTCCAGGTGAGAGTCGCTCAATGTGGATGACGAGGCCCCGCCCCCCTCCCCCCGTACGCTGTCCTGGTTTTTGACAAACACAAATCTGGTCACACTGACCTGTATTCACCTGAGTCATGTCTTTTAATCCAACACAAGTTGAACCACATCAGCGACACAAGAGCTGGAGTTTTATCTTCACTTAGTTTATGTAAATTAGTGATGTGGTTTTAAGTTTTGTTTCTGTGAGATTTGAACAAAACTGAATTAAACACATTATAATGTCAAACAGCTGATGTGGATCTAGAGTCGTTATGTTTATATGTCGTAAAGTTGAATTTATTTATGCAGATTAGTGCAGATAGTAATAATAATGATGATCATTTTAATATAAAAACATTAATGATTAATCGATAATCGATCGTTAATTCTTCCAACGATCGATTAAGAAAATTTCATTGAATGCCCGTCCCTAGTTTGTGGACCTTGTTGGTTGAAGATTTGGTGATGGGACAGATTTATGAAGCTGCTGGAGAAAACATGTATTCCGAATTTCGGACTTCCAGTCAGTGGGAAGGATCCTCTGAAAAAGTGAGCATCAAACCTCCATGTTTGTTTTCCCAGTGGGATGAGTCTATTGACAAAGTCGATCTTTTCAAGTCTTTTGAACCATATCACTTTTGTTTCTGGTTCTGATATTGTCATATTTTAGTTTTGGGATTCGGACATCGTAATTTTGTGGTTGTTGGATCCTAAAAGCGGAAAATGGGCTTCGGAAGTTTGTGAACTTCATAAATACAAAAGTGAATCAGATGTGTGTGACTCAAACCTCTGTTCACACTGTTTCTCTTCCCAACGGAATTGAAAAATAGTGAAAGGTGAAGGTGATGGGCAGGATTGATCCACAGGAAGAACCAACAAGGAAACATTTGTCTGACTAAGAAATCATCCTGAGTTTACAGAGAACATTTTGTATGTGGAGCGACGACAAAACAAAATCGGGTTTGTTAATGTAGAGGAGCAGAAGACAAACAGACTGAGCTGCACTTTCTTGTTCTTGTGGTTTTACACAAACATCACGTCTTGGTCTTTGCAGTGGAAGGTGTTTCTTGGTGAACAGTTGGAGCCTTTCACTTTGGCGTTGACTTTTTAAATTCATAACCGAGGTTGAGCGACGGATCAGGATTTTGTTTTGTTGTCGCTCCACATACAAAATGTTCTCTGTAAACTCAGGATGATTTCTTAGTCAGACAAATGTTTCCTTGTTGGTTCTTCCTGTGGATCAATCCTGCCCATCACCTTCACCTTTCACTATTTTTCAATTCCGTTGGGAAGAGAAACAGTGTGAACAGAGGTTTGAGTCACACACATCTGATTCACTTTTGTATTTATGAAGTTCACAAACTTCCGAAGCCCATTTTCCGCTGTTTGGATCCAACAACCACACAATTACGATGTCCGAATCCCAAAACTAAAATATGACAATATCAGAACCAGAAACAAAAGTGATATGGTTCAAAAGACTTGAAAAGATCGACTTTGTCAATAGACTCATCCCACTGGGAAAACAAACATGGAGGTTTGATGCTCACTTTTTCAGAGGATCCTTCCCAGTGTGAATTGCACGATGACCAGAAGTCCAAAATTCGGGATTCATGTTCACAACAGACATTTACAGAGACATTTTGCCACAGAAAACCATTAACCAGACGTTCTTCAAACCTATATCGACACACTTCTGGATGTTGTCAAAAAGGTCTATTGTACTAAATCAACTTTTTTGAGGTTTCTACCGTGTTATAAAGTTCCCTCAACAAAATGTCCATGTCTGAGTGTCAGTTTTCCTCCTCGTCGTCGTCGTCGTCGTCGTCGTCGTGTGTTTGAGCGTCTCTTTTCTCTCTGTGCAGGTCGAGCTCCAACAGTCTGGGCAGGAGGAGTTATGGTCTGGTGGGGGGCAGCCTGCGCATCCACAGCAGCCGCTCCCCGCACCCCTTCCCCTTCGCCCCGGAGCAAGAGTCCCTCCTGTCCCACCCGGCCTTACCCCACCACAACACCTACCACCACCCCCACTCTGGCCAGCCCCCGCCCCCTCCGCTCGCCCGCAACTACGGCACCAGGCGGGACCGGCGGGCGCTGTCCCTGGAGCTGCCCGAGAACCTGCTGAGAAACGCCAACGTGGGCAACGCGGCCAACGTGGCGAACGCTCCTCCTCCTCCGGTCGGACTCGCCCACGGCCCGCAGGACTCGGGGCGGAGGAGCGGCGGGTCGGGGGCGGGGTCGGTCACGGGGGGGTCGGTGTTGGGGTACGGGGCGGATCACAGGGACTGTAACGGGAAAGCGCCGCACACGACGCTCATCGCCGACGTTTATCCTCAAGTGAACGCTCGCAAAGACCGAGCCGACCTGGACGAAGAGACGGACTACGTAAGAAAATGAAATATTTACAGAATGAATAATCAAAATACAGGACAGACAGATTTTCAGGTTTTTGTTTTGCAGATTTTTGTTTTTAGATTTTCAGGTTTATGTTTTGCAGATTTTCGTTTTTTGTAGATTTTCGGATTTTTGTTTTTCATATTTTCATGTTTTTGTTTTTCATACTTTCAGGGTTTTTGTTTTTCAGATTTTTTTTTTTTTTTTATTCAGATTTTGGAGGTTTTATTTTTGCAGATTTTCAGGGTTTTGTTTGTGCAGGTTTTCTGGTTTTTGGTTTTCAGATTTTCGGGTTTTTGCTTTTCGGATTTTCAGGTTTTGTCTTTACATTTTCAGGTTTTGTTTTTTACATTTTCAGGTTTTTTTTCTTCAGATTTTCTGTTTTGTTTTGCAGATTTTTGGATTTTTGTTTTGCAGATTTTTGGGGTTTTGTAGATTTTCGGGGTTTTGTTTGTGCAGGTTTTCAGTTTTTTGTTTTTCAGATTTTCAGGCTTTTGATTTTTAGATTTTCGGGTTTTTGTTTTGCAGATTTTCGGTGTTTTGTTTTGCAGATTTTTGGATTTTTGTTTTTCAGATTTTCAACATTTAGTTTTTCAGATTTTCGAGTTTTTGTTTTTTGGGAGATTTTCGATTTTTGTAGATTTTTTTATTTTATTTTTCAGATTTTCTTACTTTTACGATAATGGCTTGAACTTTCTAAACCTGAAAATTCCGTAAAGTTTGTGTAAAATAACGGAGCGGAGGAGCAGATGTTGGAGTCAGGTGTTCTGCAGCTCGGGCAGGAGGCTTTTTTTGGCCCCAGTTCCAGGAGTTGTTTTTCCGACTTGTGTGAGCGTTTTCGTGCGTTTTTGTGCATTTTTGAACTGGGAAAAACATGTTTCCGGATTCCCCGAGGAGCACTGGAACGCGGCATTATTCCGCGGTGTTTACGTTGGGTGTTGTTGTGTCTGTGCAGAGCATCTGTTTCCGGGTGCAGAAGATGATGGAGGCGTACAAACCCGACTGGTGCGAGAGCCGAGAGGACTGGTCTGTTTACCTCTTCTCCCCACACAACAAGTCAGTACCACATTCATTTATTCATTGATTGATTGATTGATTGATTTATTTATTTATTTATTAGTCTATTTCAAACAGTGTTGGGGAGTAACAGATTACATGTACCAGAGTAATCAGAGTACAAATGATGAGTAACTGTATTCAGTTACAGTTACTGTTTCAGTGAGTGGGAATTGGATTACAGTTACTTTGTTGAAATAAATGGATTACACAGAGGGATTTTCCTGTTTTCCTAACCCCACCCCTTTTTTTTGTTGTCTTTTTTTCGGTAATTTCACTCATTGCCAGAAACTAAACTAGATCTAAACCAGGTCTAAACCAGGTCTAAACCAGGTCTAAACCAGGACTAAAACCAGGTATAAACTAGATCTAAACCAGGACTAAAACCAGGTCTAAACTAGATCTAAACCAGGTCTAAACCAGGTCTAAACCAGGTCTAAACCAGGTTCTAAACCAGGAAACTTAAACCAGGTCTAAACCAGGTCTAAACTAGATCTAAACTAGACCTAGAACAGGTCTAAACTGGGACTAAAACCAGTCTAAACCAAGTCTAAACCAGTTCTAAACTAGTTCTAAACTAAACTAGTTCTAAACCAGGTCTAAAATAGATCTAAACCAGGTCTAAACCAGGTCTAAACCAGGTCTAAACCAGGACTAAACCAGGACTAAAACCAGGTCTAAACTAGATCTAAACCAGGTCTAAACCAGGTCTAAACTAGGATCTAAACCAGGTCTAAACCAGGTCTAAACCAGGTCTAAACTAGATCTAAACCAGGTCTAAACCAGGTCTAAAACCAGGTCTAAACTAGATCTAAACCAGGTCTAAACCAGGTCTAAAAGTCTAAACCAAGGTCTAAAACCAGTCTCTCTAAACCAGGTCTAAAATGAGTCTAAACCAGGTCTAAACTAGATCTAAACTAGACCTAAATCAGGTCTAAACCAGGACTAAACAGGTCTTAGTCCTGTTCTAGTCCTGGTCTCAGTCCTGGTTTTGTTATTTAGATTTTATTTTGAAAAACGAATAACAATACATGGATTTGACGTTTGTGTCTTGTTGATAACGTGTAGGTGGATGAATGAACTTTGACCGTTCAGACTGAAGTCACATGTTAAAAGATCAGATATGTATCAGTTTCAGGAGCACATGTCCAAGGCTGCGTTCAGTCTGCAGGGCTTAATGGTCAATTCGAATTTTTTTTTGTGAAATCCCAAATTTTTTGCGATGTTTTTTGTATGTGATCTCCAGTGTGAACATTAAATGGTCCAAAAGTGTCCCGCATGTGCACTGGAGACACGACGATGACGTCACACACACAGTGAGTGTGTTCAGTGTTGACGGAAATCACCTAAACTTTGGGCTCATCTCCCAAAATCTGGTCCAGTTCTTGGTAAAATATTCAGGTTACACGTCCACGGCCGCTTCATTTGTTTGAGTCTTTATCCTCCTTGTGTTTGACTCACAGGTTCTTTATTTTTGGTTGACTTTGGAGGCAGGTCCTTTGACGCTCATTTCAAAAAACGCCCAGTTCCGATAAGACCCCTCCAGTCCTGAATACAGAGATCCCCCCAAATATGAATAAACTCTCTAACCTCGCTTTCCCTCCATCGATGAGACTCTGAGTCTAACGTGTAGGTGGATGAATGTGACCTGACTGTTCAGACTGAAGTCACATGTCAAAAGATCAGATATGTATCAGTTTCAGGAGCAAATATCCAAGGCTGCGTTCACACTGCACCTGAAGTGACCCAAATCTGATTTTTTGTCTCTATGTTCCTGTATCTGATCTTTTAATGTCAGTCTGAACCACACAGATCTGATTTTTTCAAACATGACCCAGGACACTTGGATCTGTGCTCCTGAAACTGATACATATCTGATCTTTTGACATGTGACTTCAGTCTGAACGGTCAAAGTGCATTCATCCACCTACACGTTATCAACAAGACACAAACGTCACTATTCTGCACTGAAGTAGGAGAAAATTGTTAATGAACTCTGTGTGACTGAAGTGAAGCACATCTCCACTCACCACAAAACACCACGACCAAAAACCTCGTCCTTCTCCTTCTCAATCTCCTCCTTAAAACAAGTAAGTTGTTCATGTTGTGGCTCCGGTACGAGAGGAACTTTAAAATCTCCAGGTGCTCGATGCTGCGTCCATGTTTGTTCAACTTGTGTAAACACAGAGACGCTCGCTGCGGTTGACGTCGTCGTGTCTCCAGTGTCACATGTGGGACACTTTTGGACCGTTTAATGTTCACACTGGAGTCACACACAAGCAGTGTTGGGAAGGTGACTTTTAAAATGTAATCCCCTACAGATTACAGATTACACACACCAAAATGTAGTTTGTAACATAATCCACTTACTTAAAGTGAGTAATGTAATCTGATTACTTTGGATTTGTTGTAGAGAAACAAAGACGAGGAAATCTTCACATAAGAAGTTTTGTCTGATAAAAGAAAATGAAAACTCCAGACTGAACCAAATAAAAAATATTATTGACCTGGACCTGGTTTAGACCTGGTTTAGTCCTGGTTTAGTCCTGGTTTAGACCTGGTTTTAACCTGGTTTTAGACCTGGTTTAGTCCTGGTTTAGTCCTGGTTTAGACCTGGTTTTAGACCTGGTTTTAGACCCGGTTTAGTCCTGGTTTAGACCTGGTTTTAGACCCGGTTTAAACCTGGTTTAGTCCTGGTTTAGACCTGGTTTTAGACCTGGTTTTAGACCTGGTTTAGTCCTGGTTTAGACCTGGTTTAGTCCTGGTTTAGACCTGGTTTAGACCTGGTTTAGTCCTGGTTTAGACCTGGTTTTAACCTGGTTTTAGACCCTGTTTAGACCTGGTTTAGTCCTGGTTTAGTCCTGGTTTAGACCTAGTTTAGACCTGGTTTAGTCCTGGTTTAGACCTGGTTTTAACCTGGTTTTAGACCCAGTTTAGACCTGGTTTAGACCTGGTTTAGACCTGGTTTAGACCTGGTTTAGTCCTGGTTTAGACCTGGTTTAGACCTGGTTTAGACCTGGTTTAGTGTCCGGCAATGAGTGGAATTACCGAGAAAAACCCCCCAAAAAGGTTTAGCCCAAAATGTGAAAACAGGAAAATCCCTCTGTGTAATCCATTTATTTCAACAAAGTAACTGTAATCCAATTACCTGTAACTGAATACAGTTACTCATCATTTGTACTCTGATTACTCTGGTACATGTAATCTGTTACTCCTCGACACTGTACAAGTCCCATGTAATTGGTTGTTTTTCAGTTTGTATTTAGTTTTACTTTTTCACTCTGAGGTTTCTTGTCTCTGTCTTTCACCTGGAAACCATTTTCAGCGCTATTTTTACAGTTTCTCCGAAGCGAGTTATGAAAGCTCCATAGAAAAAACCCTTTGGTGACAGAATAAGAGCCTGACCGCCGCCGCGCTCCCTCCTGCCTCAAACTCACACCTGGTTTTTAAAGCCCTCGGAGTGGAATGCATTGACCTTTTTCCTTTTAGCGCGGCTCCACTCGGTTCGTTTCAAAGTGCGCCGCCGTTTGGCATTTGGTCCCAGGTAACCGAGCCCGAGCGTCCGGGTCAGAGGTCAGGAGCGGTCAGGAGGAGCCACGGCGAAGAGTCAAAACATTTAAGATTTTCATGGCCTGATTTCCCAAACTGAGCTTCCCCAGATACTCAGGTTTCTATGGTAACCGCGATTAAAGACAAATGTCAGTTTTGAAATTGACTTTGTTTTCTGATCTGTGTTCCAATGCAGTTTCCTCATCAAACGTGCACGATTATCTGGAGTTGTCTTTTTGTTTCATTCACACACGTTTAACGCACAAACCCTGCAGATTTAGGCCGATTCTCTCAAACTGAAAACATCTTCACACTGCACAAAAGCTCAGCCAAAAATGAAGATATAAACACTTAAATCTATCAGAAAATGACGTCAACTGTTCATGCAGCAAGATCATTTTTAAACTAAACGACCTCTAGACTCGAGTGAAGCGTCTCAGAACTGGACCCGGTCAAGCAGAAGTAAACAACAAGGCCAAAAATTCAAGTTCATTGATCTGATATAAAAATGTATTGAACAGATACATATGTTCTCTAGTTTATCAAACTGTTGACCTTTTTTCTGTACCATTTTTGGTTCTAAAGTTCCATATGTTTTAAACAGACCATGTATGAAACATGGAACAAAAACTATTTCCCAAATTTCAAAAACCCAAAAATCATGTAAATAAATGGATGTATTTCATCATATCTTGTGTTATTCCATCTTTGAACTGTTGATGAAGGGACATGATTTAAAAAATATATATTTAAAATGATAAAAATGTTCTTGGAAGGACTGACATATTTTATAGAAATAGTTTCTTTCATTTTGAAGTAATATTAAAGTATTTGGAAGAAAAAAGTGACAAATGATGTAAAATCCTGCACCTTCTACTTGTTTGCACAATTTTCCCTCCGTTACTTTTCCCTCCGTTACCATGAACTTTCTTAATAAAAAATCTCATGAGTCAAAAAGTAAGAGGTTTTTCAACCTAATCTTGTACCATATGGTAGAAAACTATATGAAGCAAATATTCAAACCAGTTTGTTAAGGATATGTAAGTGAGAACCAAGAGTTATCACTGTTTGGATTTATTGACCAAAAAGTGCTGCATATTTCATTCCCTCTGTTACCGACATGAGTTTTTAAATTTTTTGTCTTGAACTTGAAAGAATCTCACAGGTTTAACTTGACCCTGTTGGAGTGTAACTCTTTCCTACATTCTGATACTTTACTTATTTCAATAGTTCCTCTAGTTTCTGAATAAGAGACATTTGAATGTCAAAAATCTGACCCTGTTTCCCTCCGTTAACACTTGACCGGAAGTCGAAAATAAATCTGAAAACAACTCTTTCCAGATCAGGGAAATCTGCAGCGTAATAGAATCGTTTGGATAATTTCAGACCTGGAATTACCAAACTCTACTCAACTAAAGGTAAAAAAAAGGAGATGTTCACTTGTAAACTAC